TAGCCTATCTATCTCCACCCTGCTCTTCGAAGCAATAAGCATGTCATCCACATACAAAAAGAGATAGATATAATCACCCCCATGAAGCTTCCGAATGTAAATACAACAATCGTAATCCCTTCGGGAAAATCCATGCTTCAGCATGAAGGAGTCAGCTTGTACCACTGCTAAGGAGATTGCTTCGATCCATAGAGTAACTTCCTCAAGTGACATACATAATTCTCCTTGTCCTCAACCTTGTAGCCATCAGGTTGATGCATGTAGATCTCTTCATCCAAGTCTTAGTGCAAGAAGGTTGTCTTTACATCGAGTTGTTCCAGCTCAAGATCACCATGACCAACAATACTCAATAGCACCTGAATAGAAGTGTGTTTTACTATCGGAGAAAATATATCATTGTAATTCACACCCTCTCTTTGTGCAAACCCTTTAGCCACTAGCCTCGCCTTATACTGTGTACCATCAAACTCTGAAGGATCTTCCTTTCTCTTGTAAACCCACTTACAACTAATAGCTTTTCTTCCTACGGGCAATGGGATCATCTCTCATGTTTGGTTCTTTCGAAGAGATTCCATCTCTTCCGAAGAGATTCCATCTCTTTCTTTATCGCAGCCAACCAACTCTTATTATCCTTGTCCCGAATAGCTTCTTTGAAGGAGACATGCTCATCTTCCTCCACCGAGAATGCGTATTCCACCAAATTAACATGCCCATAGTACTTCAGGGGTTGATTAGCCCCCATCTTCAGTACCACCTTGTATGCTCGCCTTGGCCTACTGGAAGTCAAACTATCCTCGAGCTGTTATTGTTGTAGTTCTTGTGTAATCTCCTGATGAACCTCCTCCTACTCAAGCTCATCATCTACCTAATTTCCCACTTGAACATGAATAGAACATGGTTGGTCTTTAGGTTTTATCTCAATAACCTGAGACTTTGAAGTCTCCATAGTCTTAACACCAACATCCTTGGGCGCCCCAGCAATCATGGTTTTTTCATCAAAGGTTATATCCACGCTGATCACGAACTTTGAATCTTCCGTACACCAAAAGCGATAGCCTTTTACACCCTTTGCATATCCTAAGAATATTGCCTTCTTAACCCTCGCGTCAAGCTTTCCCTCGTTGACGTGATAATAGGCAGTACATCCAAAAATTCTGAGTCTCTCATAATCTGCATGTTCCCCTAACCATACCTTATAGGGTGTATCACCATCTAGTGTAGAATATGGAGAATGGTTCACAATATAACAAGTTGTAGCCACTGCTTCTGCCAACCATTCTTTACCCAACCCAGCATAAGATCGTATACTCATTGCTTTCTCTCGTAATGTTTGGTTCAGCCTCTCCGCAACCCCATTTTGTTGTGATATAGATCTTATTGTCCAGTGTCTAGCAATACCCTCCTGATTACAGAACTCCTTGAAAGCACCATCTGTATACTCTGTACCGTTGTCAGATCTTAGTGTCTTTAATTTCTTCCATGTCTTGTTCTCAACCATCACCTTCCACTTCTTAAATATCTCGAACACCTCATTCTTATGCTTCAGAAAGTAAATCCAAATATACCTAGAAAAGTCGTCTATGAACGAGACAAAATATCTGGAACCATCCTTGGAAGTTGTCTAAGTCAGACCCCAAACATCCGTGTACACATAATCTAATATACCTCTGCTCTTAGACTTACTTTTCAGAAACTGGACTCTATGCGCCTTTTCATACACACAATCCTCACAAAAATCCATACAAGGTTTCTTCAGATTCTTCAGCAAACCCTCCTTACCAAGCAGATCCAGACCCTTCTCTGACATGTGCCCAAGCTGCCTATGGCATAGTCGTGTGTGCTCACATGGGTCTTCACCATTTCCTTCAGTTCCAACCGCTGCATCTCCCATCACTGTCGTACCTGAGAGAGTGTATAAATTACCATGACGAACACCTTTCATCACTACTAGGGAATCCCGAACAACCTTCTTCACTTCGTTCTCTATAACAATCCTACAATCACCGGAGTCTAATGCACCAACTAAGATAAGATTCTTCTGTAAGTCGGGAACGTGCCTCACATCCGTCAGGGTTCTGACCATTCCATCATGCATCTTGATTTTGATATCACCTAGCCCCATCGTTTTACAAGCATGGTTATTCCACATCAATACGGTTCCACCATCAATACTCTTGTAGGTAGTAAACCACTTTCTATTTGGGCACATGTGATAAGAGCAACCTGAATCAATAATCTACTTCCCGGAGATATCCTCGCCACCCGTGATGACATAGCATTTCTTCTCGCTCCCTTCCTCTAAAACATAGGTCGCTTCTTCCTTGCCTTCTCTCCTCTCAGTCTTGTTATTGTTCTTCTTCCCACCTACTCTCTTATTTGGACAGTCGACCTTGAAATGCGCGACTTCACCGTATTTGAAACATGTTCTTCCCGCAATAGGTCTCGATTTAGATCTAGACTTTCCTCCTTCGTCTTTTCCTCACTCATTGTTCCTTCCTCTAGCAAATAATCCCTGCGCTTGGTCTTTGTTACCACCAGTAGTCATGTCACTGGTTGCAATCTTCCGAAGGTCATCTGCTAGAAGCACCATTCTAGTCTCATTCATCGTCAAATTGCCTCCCACAAACATCAGTGTTTGCACTAGGTTCTCATAAGACTTCAGCAGAGATAGAAGTAGTATAAGTACCTGATCCTCATCTTCAACTGTCACATCTATGTCCTTTAAGTCTGATATGATCCTATCAAACTTGTTGATGTATTCCCGGATTAATGAGCCATCCTCCATCTTGCAAGTATATAATTTGGATTTTAAATAGATCCGGTTTGTTAGACTCTTCGTCATGAAGGTGCTTTCTAACTTCGACCACACGCCTGCAGCCGTTTCCTCTCCATCTACCAAGAAAGCTACATCCCTTTCAAGGCAAAGGATAATCGACGCATATGCTTCCAGATCTAGGTCCTCTCAATCCTCATCAGACATATCCTTGTGCTTCTTTTCTTTTCCAGCAAAAGCCTTGTGTAATTTTGCAAAATCAACGATTTTTTTCATCTGTTTCCTCCAATAGGAAAAATCATTCTTCCCATTGAACTTTTGGATCTCGTACTTTCCAACTTTAACTGTTTTACTTGTAGACATCATTCTCAGCTTGTTTCAGTAAACCGCTTCTCTCAGGAGTTCCAACAAACACCTTGTGTTCACCATACAATAATCACACACCACCTCAGATCAGAAATTTTACCACCTCCAATCTGTATAAAGGGCTCTGATACCAATTGTTAGGCGCAGAGTCACGCCCTCACGTCGCAGAAGCGATATCACCTGAGAGAAAACACTGGCTTTTGTTTTCACAAAAGCTCAAGCCAACCTTTATGTTCCTGTTTCGCAAAGGAAACAAGAACAGAAGTAAAATATCTCAACAAAGTGACACATACACTCTTCCTCTCATCAATTTTAGGACTGAATTGTCGAGGGAACCTACAAGCAATAGCCAATACCCAGAAAACAGTAAAGACACGAGATTTACGTGGTTCGGCAAACTTGCCTACGTCCATGGGAGGTTGAGGGGAGATTCCACTATGAAGAGAACACCGACGACTTGTACAATCCACAAGCTCGTCTCAAAAGAAGATGATTTGATTTTTACCCAAAAGAATCGACCTCTCTCTTGTAAAATCTCTCCAAAACTCTCTCATCTAGATCTCTCTTTTCTAGCCGCAAAAAAAAACTCTTTTTTTCTGTAGCTGAAGAGCCCTCTGTCGTTTCTCCCACACAAAACCCTAGAAGAGATCGTCAGGTATTTATACCCGAACAACGATCCAAACTGGATCTGGAAACAACCCGCACCCGCTTAGAAAACATGCTCGCGTGTGCCCGAAAAACCCACGTGGGTGTGACGGCCGCGGCCGCGAGACACAAATTTGTGTCTCACTCACACCCACGTGGGTGTGGCCCCCACAAGACCCCCACGTGTTCACAAGATGTCTGTATCATCAAATTTTATTTCAAATTCATTCATCTAATGTCAAAATATTATTAACTATATGATCAATACAGATATACGGATTTGAACATTCAATTCTCTATCTGTATTTGTATCCGTGTCTCATTTTGCGTCCCTGGCTATGGATACAACCCCGTCTTTATAAAAATAAAACCAATGTATCCTTATTCCACATTGCGAGTGGACTTAAAACAAAGCAATCCCAATTTCATACGCCATCACAACATTGACTCGAACACCAAACCACTATCTCCGCTCTAACTCAACCCAAACCCAACACCGACCCATCCCGTGTTACTCTACAAGTACCACCCACATTCTGCGATGCAGTATGCAAAAACCCCTCGTCCTCTCTAAATCTACCAACCCCTCCCCTTCACTATAACCAAACTCAATCTCAAGGTCCCAAACACTTCCCTCCAAAAAACATGGCCACCGCCAGTCAAACAACGACCAGCTCTGAGAAAGCAACAAATCCACATCCAAGGCAATCAACTCCATTATATCCCTCGCGCAAGCGTCACGATCCGCCGGCCAATTCCGCTTCCGCCTATAAAAATATCTGGATCCCCGTTCTCTTGAGCCGAAACGCCGCCCTGCAGAGCACCTCGCGCTTACAGTCCCTCATACTTCAAACACACGATCGGGACGGACGACATGCGGAGCGAGCATACTTCAGCAACTAAGGAACAACTTATTTCCATTCCTAATTACCGATTTTCTTTAACTTTAAGGAACCAACTCTCACACATTGCTTATACAACGTTACTTGATACCTATCAATAGGGTGCATGCAGATTGGATTACCCACTCTTCAGCGACAAACGTAGGGCCGGACCTTACGATGGACAGTAAGCGCGCCGTACTTCGAAACGAGACACCCGGACGCTGGACTGGGAACCGCAGGCTAGAGGTAGGGAGAGGGAAGGGGGACGGGGTGGTGGGAGGTGAAGTATATAACGACGCCGCGGTCCGAGATGGTGCAGGCGGGACCGGCAGAGGTTCGATGGAGGAGTTTTTTGAGGGAGGAGATGGAGGAGGGGGTGTTGGGGTATTGGATTGACGTTGATCGGGAGAAGCCGGAGATGTCTGCCTTGTTCTACATTCAGGTACACTGTCAGACTTTTGCTTAGTGCGGTATTCTAAGTATCGTGTGGACAAAATTTCATGGGCAATTAAGTTTCACTAAACCCCCAGTAATGAGTTTTGCATTCCTGACATTTAGCCGAGTTGACTACTCCTAAAAAGGTTGAAAGTCTTAATAAACCTTCAATTAATAAGTTTGAAATGCTCAAAATATTTTGATTTTACTCAGTCAAGCCACAATAACTACTTTATGGTGTTTATGTGATATTTTCTGTTTAGGGCCCGTATGGATAATAAAAATATTAATTGGAAGTAAGAAGTAGGTTATAGAAATAACTTTCAAAACTATGAAGTAGGAAGTAGTGGAAATAGAATTTTTTTTGTTTGTTTCATATATTTTTAGAAGTAATGGAAGTAGAACTTCTTCCTCTTCATTTACTTTTTTTGTTTGGATAACATTTAGAAATATTACAAGGAAGTAATTTATCAATGAAAAGTTGTTAGAAATAACTAATAAATGAAATATTAATATTTTTTTTTAATATGCATTTCAACTACTTCCGAGCTACTTCTGAGTATTGAGGATTGGAAAAATATTTTAGAAATAAGGATAACACGTAGGCGTCACATAAACATTTAAAGAAGTATTAGAAGTAAGTTTTTCAAAGAACCAAACGTACTTTTTTTGTTTGGAAGTAGCAAAATTAGCATCTACTTTTTTTACTTCAGCTACTTCATAATTATTTTGGTGCAAACAAACAGGCCCTTAGCAACTCAAAATATTGGCTGGGGTCATTGTATTTGTAGGCGTTAGATGAAAATGTCAATATATTTTAGTGGTTTTCTTGAATTTCCAATTTTATAAGGCGTTTGGTGAGAGTTTGAGACTTTTTCGGGTTATGTGCCAAAGGTCTACGAGATTATCGATCGGAGGTTTAGTGAAATTTTCCAAATCTCCGTCCTCTTTAATATGATAAACAGAAAATATTAATAATTTAATGAGTAAACATTTCTTACTTTAATTTGTCAAAAGCAAAATATTAATAATAATATAATCTTTTTAGATGGATCAAAATGAGTTAACCCTTAAAATGAGGAATTTATTAGGCCATCTATTTAGATATATGAGCTAAAAATTAAGTCTTAGGAAGTTAGATCTATGAAGAAAATAGAAATAACCCTCTATATTCTCTAGACACTAAAAAACCACAAGAATCAAAACTAAATTTTACCTAACTAGTTAACCTATTTGGTCATTCTTTACTCTAAATAGATTAGATTAAGTAACCCTTCTAATAAATCTTTCTTTAATATTCTAGTTAATCAACTTAATCCTTCGTCAGTTGTCGAAATTTAGTACATAAAAGTATGACATGAGCAAGATAAATCTCAGGGATTTGAAGGAAGTGTTGTATTTTTCCTCTTTTTAAGAACTCAAAATATAGACTGATAACGTTGCAGGGTTTTCGTGGGCAGTAAAACAAAATGTTTCGGGGGATTTTTGAAACTCCTAAGTGATTAGCGTTGCGTGAGAATTTCAAAATTTTTAGCGATTAGTGGCGAACATCAAAGCTAAGCTTATCTAGAGATTAGTGAAATTTACCCAAAAGAAATCAGAACAACGTACTCACACTTGGACTATTCTCCTAGTATTTGCAATCTTAAAAAAAAAAAGCTATTTTTCCTTGTAATTTTCTTGGCTTGTTTCATCAACTCCTAAGCTAATTTCATAATTTGCTTCTCATTTCATTCCAGGTGACAGAATTCCAAGGGGACGGCTACTCCATCGGAATAAGCTGCAGCTTGCTCTTAGCAGACCCTCTCTTTTTAACCCAATTCCTCAAAAAATGGGCCGTAGCCCACTGCAGCATGCTAGCCCAAGCCCACCCAAAAACCCCAATGTTTCATCTTAATTACTTCAGAATACCCCAACGCCCGAAGCATCTCAAGTCCATTCCATTTGACCACACCCAGCCCAAACCAACCACCAAAACCATTTTATTCAAATCCAACCCTCATCAAACACCAAGACTCAACCACGCTACTCTAGCCTCAATTTGCATCAAGAAAGCAACTCACTTGCTCGATATCGACCCCTTGTTAAAATTTTCGCTTATCGTCAACAACCCTAACCCTAATGGGGATTTAACCGTTGGGTCGTGTCAGGGCGAAGAGTTGGTGCATTCTGATGTCTGTGACGGTGCGGTTGCTGCAGCGTCGATGGATGAGTTTGGACTTGATGAGCTAGCGATGAGCGAAGGGAACGTGCCCGTGCATGTGTCGTGCGGTGTTGTCACCTCGTGTGAGACCGAGGGGTTGGTGGTGGTGATGACGCCGGGATATGATGATGGTGCTTCGGAGGTTTTGATCAGCGTCACGATTCCGAAGAAGTAGGGATCCAGGATTTGAACTTTGTTGTGTAATTTGGTGTGTTGGCTTTGATAAGCCGGAATCGTCTGAATGGATCTTTACAAATTATTGATTGAAGCGCGTGCATTGTCGAAATGTTTTTCTACTCTTGAAGTATTTTGTTTATGTGTTTCTCCAAATTTGTAAAGATCTTATCTATTCAGGTTTGCATAAGTTCCTTTTCTTCAGCAACTTTAGAGACACGGCTGCATTGTTAAATGTTCTTATAGCTATTTCTTCTTCTTTTCTATGATATCATCATTATTTATTTATGTAGTAAGAAGAAACTGAATGATTGTAAACACTTTGAAGTGCACAAATTTAGTTATGTGTACTTTATAAATATTCTCAAGTATTAAAACTTTTATGAATAGGTTTAATGAATACAACTCTGTTTGGAATTATTATTGAGATATGCATGTGTGGGAACAATCTTACATTTTGGAAGAATAAGGAGTGATGAGTTTGAATAAGATTAAGGGTAAGAGTACGTCTGACAACACATTTATTTTTATTTACCAATGGATTCAATCCTGGATTGTTTTAATTCTAGATTTAAAATTAACTAGTGAACTCAATCCTACATTCATAGTCCTCTCACTTGATTTCCTCTATCTTTTTATTTGCTTCTTGTTTTGATTTGATTTTTCTTAAATTTTCTTTTATTTATTCTTCTCTTCCTCTCATTTCTTTCCACTTGTTTATCCTTTTATTTCGTGACCACCCTCTATCCAAAACGCACAATCAAACTCTATACTCATTCATTTGTTCCTATACATTTCAAGAACCCATTTAGGATTGTCTTTAGGGGTGCTAAACCGTATCCGTATCCGAGGAAATATGGATACAGGTATGGTTGATCAACTCTATAACTGATAGGATATAGTTACGGATATGGTTTTGTAGTGAAATATCTGTATCCGTATCTGAAATATCTGAATACATATTAGTCATACTCTTGATATAGTTTCAAGTCTTGAATTATGGATTTGTGGTTAATTTTGATGATCAAGATGTCTAATCTTAGCTTTTTAGTTATAATGAATATATTAATGACCTCTTTTGTATCACATGAATTATGTTTTTCTCAATACTATGTAGTTTTTTCATTTCCATTTTGTATCTGCGTGCATATCTGTTTATATATCCACATCTATATCCGTAACCGTATCTGATTTTAGTAGATATGGATTTCCTTACCAAGATATATATGTATCTATATCCTTATCCAAGATGGATAAGTGGATATGGATATGATAAGCATCATATCTGAGCCGTATTTAGACCAAATGCACCCTTAATTATCTTTCTAATACACTCATTTCCAATGGTCGATATCTTAAATACTATAATTTGATTGTTGTGCACTTTGCAACTTAGCATATATGTTATTTGCTTCGAATTACAAACAACCACATGGGAGCACGGGCATGATGCTTATATAATTGATACAATTTGAGTTTGATAATAATAGATATTAATTGTAAAGGCTTTATAATGCTAGATCGGCCTAAATGTAACTCAACATTGGCCCATGGTTAGGATTTTAATCAATTTAAAGTTCGGTTTATGCATGCCCATAACGAAAATTTTCCAATTAAAAGTAAGTTGGGCTAAATAAAAAGGATGAAGTTGGCTTTTTTGCATACATACCCCTCAAATTTTTAATATTTGCAAAATTTTTGTCACTTTACTAATTAATATAGACAATGGAATTTAAAGATAAAAGCAATTCCTAATTATCAAATCCTTATATTTTATCATGATGTTGTAATTTAAAATTATTAAGATTTATCATGATGTTATAATATAAAAAAATTAAGATAGGATAATAAATTTTCATGTCTTTACTAATTATTATATAAAATTAAATTTAAAGATAAATACTAATTTATTATTATTAATTTCTTATCTCCTAATTTTAAGATATTAGGATTAGGCAGCAACTATTTATCTCTTTACTAATTACCATAAATAATTAAATATAGAGATGAAGATAAAAACTAACTCTTATCAATTCTTTATCTTATATCTAAAATTACTATAATATAAATATTTTTACCGCAATTTCTCATTATTGTTATTTGAATTAATTAGGATAGCATAATAATCTAATATCTAAAAGAATCAAGGCTATTTTTATCCATGAAAAGGTTTTTCCTAAACCCACACTTTTATGACGGTACTAGTTTCTATGCATGTGCAATGCACGTGATTACATATCAGAATAATTTATTTTTTAACTTTTCATTACTATAAATAAGTCAGATTTGTTTTGATTATCAGATTTGCTATAATTTTTATTTAAATATTATAAAAAATTGATGTAATGGATTTTTGTGCTAAACTGGGATCAACATACTTAATTAGGATATCTTAATTGATTCTCTAAGAAAAAAATATCAATTGACATAATAACATCTTCAAGCCGAATAGTAAAAAAAGTTAAATCAATAATACATGTCATATTCCAAACTCTACTAATCCCAAGCTATAATATGGAGTCAAGCATGAAAAACAATATTATTATGAACTATAATTCTAGCAATAAAGAAACAATATTTCTTATTTCATTGAAAATAGAATTGCACAACACTTTTGGACATTATAAGCTCATGCTTTATAGTAAACAATCTCAAAATTAAACATAAAAAAAGAAGCACAACAAACATGATACACACACACACATACATACGTATATACATACATATGAGATCTCAGCCTACATTATTTGATAAACTTAAAATAATAAAAAGTTAAAACTAAAGATTAATAATAACTATAGTATAATTTTATGTGATAAAAGAAATCACATAAGCAGACAAAAATACTAAAAATTTTGTATGAAAATCACTTCTAAAAATTCCTAATTTTACTTAAAAATTAAGTTATAATATAAAATATTTAAAAAATATTATCATTTACTCTTTTTGTTTCATATTTTAATTGAGCGGAGATCAATCTTTCTCCACATTTATCTTTTTCCTGGGTAATTCTAGAGTAGCGTCTTCATCATCTACGTCGATTGCGATATCAGGTTGGAAGGATTTCTTGTGATATTATATTTTCTTCATATTTTTCATCTTTTATCTTCTCCTCTAACTTCATCAGAAATTTGAATGTCTTTCTGATATTCAACACAAAATTCTAGAAATATGAACTATGATTATTTTCCTGTTTCAATGAGAACAAAGGTAGATATAAAAAAATTTCCAATTTTCTAATTTAGTACTTGAATAGAGTTAGGAATTATCACTTCTTTCTCTGTAATGAATTATTATGTTGTGCATCCAATAAAAATTTCTACATCAATTAAATAGTGTTACTTTTGCATTGTTCGTGCTATTTTCCATAAGAATCTTAACTATATATTTGTAGTTTTCATTGTTGATTTCTAGATATATGTTAATATTGTAACTTGATATGTTCATGTTATAAAAAAATTATATTATTTAACTTTGGTACTGAATCATCAACGATTCTGTGGTATTTATCATTCAGACATCTTTTATTAACATCTTTATCTACCTTCTTATTACAACCTTTATAAATATAGAACCATGGCTGGAGTCTATTTAAAATGGCAGTTATCTTTGCCTTAAATGTGCAATAGTATATCTGTATATTGGAAAATTTTAGTTAGGTTTAATTGTGTTAATGATTAGGTTTATAATATTACACCTGTATCGAATTCTGTATAATATCATTAATTTGAATTTGTTTTACATTTATAAAGAGTGTTGATGGAGATCCTTTTGTTTTTGGAGCTTCTTCTAAATGAAACTTGCATATTAGATTAAATTATAATACTATTTCATTTGTGGGTTATATGAAGGTATGCTTGTTCTATTTACCATTACGTTAATTCTTTAGCAAGTTGTATTTTTCGATTAATACATATTATTGATATAATTTGTGATGGTATGCTTGTCTTCTCTACAAAATTGAGATAATCATAAAATGAATTTTATGTTTAGTTGTATTTAATAAGAATTTCAGTAATAAAATATGTGCCTTTGTATATAAAGATTATAAAATCTAATAATGCTATTATGGGCGAACAAATGAGTATCAGAAAATAAAAAATAGATCTTTATTCCTTCTATTTTATTTTTTTATTGAGTCGAGATCGATATGTTTCCACCTTTATCTTTTTTCTTGATAATTCTAGAGTAATGTCATCATCATCTACATATATTGTGAAATTAGACTGGAGCTAGATTTCTTGTGCTGTTATCTTAGGCTCATTCATCTTTTGTCTTCTTGTCTAATTTCACAAAAAAGTTGAATGTATTTTTGATGTTCAACACAAACATCTAGAAATACAGACTTTGATTATTTTTCTATTTTAATGAGAATAAATGTTAATTTTATATATGTGAAATTTTTGTCTCTAATTTATTATTTAAATAAAGTTAGAAGTTACCTCTTTTTCTCTATAATGAATTCTTCTGATGTGCATCTAATAAGAGTTTTTTATGCATCAAATAATGTCATATTTGCTCTATCCGTGTTATTTTCCATGAGGATCTAAACTAAATAATTGTATTTTTCATTATCAATTTGCTTTAAATTATAATGTTAATATTTAATTTTGATACGTTTATTTTATGAAGAAGGGGTATTATTTAACTTTCACACTATGTCATCAGTAATTTTATGACATTTATTATTTGGACACTCTTATCAATATCTTTCGTGTAAGCATAGAATCACGGCTCAACTCTATTGTAAATGGTAGTTATTTTTGCATTATAGGTGCAATGTCTTGTCTGTATATTGGTAAATAATTTTTAGGCTTAATTATATAAACGTTAGAGTAAGTATTGTAAGATCAATATTTTATCTTTTTATGTGATCAAGCCAGAAGTATACGGGACAGATATGAGTCCTTTCGCTTCTTGAACAGCTTGGCAAGCATGAGACGACTATTTAGGATGAAATAAAACAAAATAGCAATATATTATTGCTCTTGATTTTTTCCCTTCGAACCTCAAGGAGCACTACACACTGAATGTACCTGACCTCAATGTTACAATCAATCAATATTGTAAAAGCTCGTAAGCCCAATTTAAGTAAAGGGTCCTTCACTCTCTAGTTTAGTCGGTGAGGGAGTGACTCCAGCAACTAAATTTGGGTGTTTTGAGTTGTGGATGGAATAGATGATGATTTTTGAAACAACGGGTATGTGGGTGAGTAAAATGGTTTTTGTTTATGTAGTATCCTAATTGGAAGCACAAGAAAAAACCTTGGGCTTTTATATTAGGG